AGTGAGAGCATTACTACTCCATCTCTGCCCCCAAAGAGATCCAAAAAAGAGGGAAAGCATCCAGACGTACAACAATATGTGTAGCACCTCTTTAAAGAAATGGAAACTTATATTCCCCAATTGATAAATGGTCAAAGGATATGAACCGGCAGTTTTCAGAGGAAGAAATTAAAGCTATCTATACCCTACGAAAAAAATGCTCTAAATCACTATCGATTAGAGAAATGCAAATCAAAACAACTCTGAGGTACCACATCACACCTATCAGATTGGCTAACATGACAAAACAGGGAAATGATAAATGTTGGAGAAGATGTGAAAAAATTAGGACACTAATGTATTGTTGGTGGAGTTGTGAATTGATCCAACCATTCTGGAGAGCAATTTGGAACTGTGCCCAAAGGGCTATATAAATGCACATACTGTTTGACCCTGCAATACCACTTCTAGGTCTGTATCCCAAAAAGATCATAAAAAGGGGGGAAAGGACCCACATGTACAAAAATATTTATAAAAGCTCTTTTTGTGGTGGCAAAGAATTGGAAATTGAGGGGATACCCATCAACTGGGGAATGGCTGAACAAGTTGTGGGATATGAATGTAATGGAATACTATTATGGTATACGAAATAATGAGCAGGCAGACTTCAGAAAAACCTGGAAAGACTTATGGGAACTGATGCTGAGTGAAGTGAGAAGAACCAGGAGAATATTGTACACAGTAACAGCCACATTATGTGATGACTGATTTTGTTAGACTTGACTCTTCTCAGCAATGCAAGGATCTAAGACAATTCCAAAAGACTCATGTTGGAAAATGCTATCCACATCTAGAGAAAGAACTATGGAGTCTGAATGCATAAGGAAGAATACTATTTGCTCTCCATTTCTTTTGTTGTTTTGTTTTATTGCTTCTTTCTCGTGGTTCCTCCTATCAGTTCTAATTCTTCTTTACATCATAACTAATGGGAAAGCATGCTTAATATGAATGTAAATGTAGAGCCTATATCAGATTGCATGCCTTCTTGGGGAGGGGGAGGAGAGGAAGGGGGAGAAAATTCAAAACTCAAAATTTTATGGAAGTGAATGTTGAAAACTAAAAATAAATAAATTATTTTTAAAAAAGAAAAAATGGAAATTTAAGGGGATGTCAATAAACTGAGGAATGAAATACTATGATGCCAGAAGGAATGATGAAGGGGATCATTCCAGATAAACCTAGGAGGATTTGAATGAACTGATATGGAATGAAGATAGCTGAAGCAGGAGAACAATTTATAAATCTCTAAAAGGCAAGCAACTTTGAAGACTAAAAAAAATCTTATAATGCAATGACCAACCATGCTTCTAGGGCAGGAGTGTCAACCACTGGGCCTGCAGGCAGCTATATTACTCCCAAGTATAGCCTGAACCCAAATTAAAAATGTAATTGAAAAATAATTAACAAAATAAATAAGACAATAAAACACATAATATTACATTTTTAAGCTGTCAACATACAGCCTACAGGGATTCTTATGTATGGATTAGTGACCTTGTTTCTATTTGAGTTCGACTCCACTGTTCTAGAGTGATGTCATAATGAGACAACTCCAGAACTCTAGATGTCATGTCCCAGGATGAGACATGCTACCCACTTCCTGACCAAGAGGTGATGGACTCATGTAGCAGAATGAGACATGTTCTTGGATATGGGCAATGTGAGGATTTGTTTGGGTAATATGGTCAGTACCGTGCTTTAGGAAGATCATTTTGACAATTGAGGGGAGGATGGGCTAGAACAGATACTTGTATCAAGGAGACCAACCAGCAGGCTTTTACAATAGTCCAGGCATGAGGTGATGAGGACCTGGGTGGCAGTGTCTGAGGAGCGAAGGGGGAATATTTGAGAGATGAAAGAGATTGGATATGGGAAGGGGGGTGAGAGAGATTTCGGAGTAGAGGATGACACCTAGTTAATAAGCATAGGGGACTAGGAGGATAGTAGTGCTCTTGACAGTAATAGGGAAGTTTGGAAATAGGGAGGACCTGGGGGAAAAAATAATGAATTTTATTTTGAATATGTTGAGTTCAAGATGGCTATAGGACTTCCAGCTTGAGATGTCTAATAGGCAGTTAGAGACGTATGATTGAAGATAGGCAGAGAGCTTAAGGCTAGATAAGGAGATTTGAGAGGTATCAGCATAGACATGATAATTGAATCTATGGAACTTGATGTGATATCCAAGTGAGATAATATAAAGGGAGAAGAGAAGGTCTAGGACAAGGTCCCGAGGGACACCCACGATGTGTGGGTGAGATAGGATTGAAGTATAGGTGATATGAAGTGAATAAGTTGAGGAACTGTGAGATTAGGGTATTTGAGGGAAGATCAATACATATGATGAAGTCCTGTAAGGGGTTGGAGAGGAGAGCAAGGCACGGAACTCATTAAGGAAAGGAGACCTGAAGGTTGGTAGATAACAGCTGCCAGAATTTTAATTGAGCAGCACCTATGGATTAAGTGAACCTCAAAGGCAAAGAAGTTACTGACTGAAGGTGGTAGAGAATCTGGAGGTGGCAAAGGGGAATAAGGAGTATTCCAACTCCCCCACCATGACCAATGAGTTGGGGGTATGGATGAAAGAGCAATCAGTTCCAAAAAGTGTGGCTACAGATGTCATGTCATTAGGAGTGAGCCAGGATTCAGTGAGTACAAGAAGATGGAAAGAACAAGAAAAAAGATTTATAATGTAAATTTTCAAAAATAAGGCAGAAAACCTAAAGCGTATCTGCCTTGGACAATGGTATTATTGTGGTTACCTAGAGAACGACAACTGAAGAATTTGGGAACCACATTAAAATAATGTCTAATTTTACTCAATTTGAAGACTAGGCTAATGTTGTGCGGAATATAATTGTCATGTATTGGAAAGTCAGAGGCAAAGGAGAAGCATTATATATACACATACAGAGAGAGAGAGAGAGAGAGAGAGAGAGAGAGAGAGAGAGAGAGGCTTTATAACTGATATATCTTAGGGGTTGGACCCTAGTGCCTGACAGTAGAACTATATTTCTGTCAAAAAGATTCTCAATAATAATTTCCTTTAACTTCTTTTTCCCCACCAAGATTTTTTATTAATTTCTAAAAGTTCCCTAATTAGTTTGTTTCTGATATATTCAGTTGACTCACCTACTAGAAAACCAAGAGTCTCAATGGCATTCAAACATAAAAACATTGATTAACAAGAGAATTGAACAGTAAAGCAACAAAAAATAATTACTGCCCCGTGAGTAAAGTCTCATCACTCTTCCCCTAGAATAATTTGAGTCTCGACTGCCTACAAATAATCATTTCTCCAATAGGGGAAGTCTGGGCAAAGTCTTACAATGAAGTAGGGAGTGGAGAGGAGGAGGTGAGATTGTTTGAAAATTTCCATGAAAGTTGCCTTGGCATCTCTGCTCAGATTGTCAGGTGTTCTCCTTCCTTTGACAGTTTTTCTTTGTTTTGGGCTAACAGGATCATAAATTTAGGGGTGGAAAGACCCTTAGAAGTCGTTGAGTCCAATCCTTCTTATTTTACAGATGAGGAAACGGCGACTGAAATAAGTTCAATAACTCAGCCAGGGTCACATGGCTAGTTAGTGTCTGAATTGGAATTGGAACTCTGGTCTTCCTGACTCCAACGTTCTATCCCTGTAGCATCAAGATGGGAAAGCTTGCTTGACATCCTGGTCACCTCCATGAGCCTGGCCCTGGTTCCTGTTAACATGATTGTCATCTTGACTTCAGCTTTCTTCTTTTTTCCCAGTAGTCCCTAGCTTGGCAATTATCTATATGTCATCTCTGGGCCTCAGGATTCTGGGAAATGTAGTTTTCTAGTATGGTTGCCATGTTCTGTAACTACTCCACATTCAATCTCCTACTCTCTTCTCTCCAACCCTCGCCAAGGGATGGGAAAAGGACAAATAACAGGTGCAAAAGGTTCCTGCTAGTTTCTGCATGATTGGTATTAAACATGTGTTTTCTGTACAGCTTTGTAGGAATGTTCATCCCCATGAATTTCAGGCTTTTATAAATGTGAGGAGCCTTTGATCACTTGCTAATAATAATTTGAAGTACCCATTTATTTATTCTTGCAACATCCATGGGATGTCGCATACAAAATGTCACTTGTCATCTGTGCCTCAGTTTGCTCATCTGAAAAAATAGGATAATAATTATCTCATTTGAATCTCACAAGAGCCCTATGAAGTAGATAGTAAAGTTATTATTATGTCCATTTTGTTATTGTTATTGTTGAGTCCGTTCAGTCATGTCTGACTCTTTGTAACCCCATTTGGGATTTTCTTGGCAAAGGTACTGAAGTGGGTTGCCATTTTCTTCTCCAGCTCATTTCACAGATGAGGAAAATGGGTTAAGTGACTTGCCCAGGGTTACACAGCTAGTGTCTATGGCCAGATTTTAACTTAGAAAGATGAGTCTTCCTGATTCCAAGCCCAGTGCTCTAGCTGCTTATTTTACGGATTGGGAAATTGTGACACAAAAATTAAATGACTCAGATAATGAATGTTAGAAACAGGCTTTGAATCCAGATCTCCCTGACCCCTGGACCCAGTGCTCCGTCCACTACACAATCCTGGTTTTATGAAGTATTTCGGCAAGTTAAAAACACTATGCATATGAGTATTGTTGGCATTATTTTAACATATTAGACTTCCAGGAGGGCAAGAAGGGGGTACTGGCTAAGCTTTAGAAAAGTCTTCTTGTCACAGGAAGAATTGGGGAATTAATCACCAATTGTCCTAAAAGATCTACATGACAGTAGTTCACCTGTTCCCCACCAGAGCACTCTAGGCTTTGGGAGGACTAGGGCATGAGGTGGGATGTAGCATGACTTGATGATTTGTTCATCTTTGTAAACAGATACTGTGACTGGTACAGAATGATTTGGTCAGTCAGTCAGTCAATAAATGCTAGCATTTATTAAGAGCCCGCTACATGCCAAGCATGCTGCTAAATCCTGGGAAATAAAGATAGACAAAAAATAGTCTCCAACTTCATGAAATTCCCAGCCTAACGTGGGAGACAATTTACAAACAGCTATGTACAAACAAGCTACAGAAAGGGTAAACTGGGAGTCATCTCAGTGGGAGGGCATTGAGTTGAAAGAAGAGGAAGAATCACTTCTTGCCTTATCCTAGAATCTATTAAGCAGAGACTTTCCTTCAAAGTTATTTGGATGAAGATGGAAAAGAATTAATGAAGGAAAATTGTTAATAAATACCATGTAGCCTTTGGGAAATGTTTCTTTTCCTTCTAACTAACTTTTAGCTCTGAAGAGAGAGAAGAGGTATACTGAATGACCACAAACTGGGAGACTCTGATACTGCTTTTTTTTTTTTTCGGCCATCCGGAAAGAAAACAAACAGGGAAGTTAAAAGTTTCCAGGACTGATTGCCTGAATGAATTAAAGCAAGGTTCTTCTGAGGGCAATGGGAATAGTTAAATGTCTAGAGCTGTGAGGAACCTCGGAGGTTCTCTAGATAAAGCGACTTATTTTACAAAGAAGAAAAGCGGGGCTCAGGGAGGCTACTGGACTCCGGGAGTGAATGATCACAAGCAGGATTGGAGCCTGCGCTTCTGAGACCTTGGGAACCAGGGCTCTTCTCCTATGGCCACACTGCCTTGTTCTGAGATTGATGGAGTCTCCGCCGCCAGCAGGTGTGCGGGCAGGCCAGGGACGCGGATTAGTTGTTTTGCAGGGTCAGGTTGGCACACAGCTAGCGGAGGGCTCTGGCTGAGTTTTTAGATCTGTCTTTCCGTGGCAGGATTGCTCAGCTCCACCAGTTCGGAAGACAGGTCTCTGCTTGCTAGCTAGCATCTTGCTTCCTTGTTCCCCTCTGGATTTGTAGAGGTGCGGGAGGGAGTGAAGTGAGAGAAAAGAGGCGAGCGATTGGCTTGCAGCATTTCACAAGTCTCCATGAGAGCCACGTTTCTGTGCACGTCCTATTAGTCAGAGTTCCTCTCCCTGGTCAGCCCGTGGTGCCACTGCACTGGGAATCGGTCTTGTTTACACAGCTCATTATTCTCGCTTTGCAGTTGCTATAGCAACCACCAGGGGTCAGTTTATAGAAGGAGAGGAAGTTCACTTTGGGGGAGTTCAGTTTTCCAGCTCCTGATCTAGGCCTGGCTGGAAAACAAATGGGACCCAGAGCGCGGGGAGGAAACACATTGGAAAGTTTCCGATGTGCAACACCACCCAAGGTTTCCAGGGTCTTTAGAAGATGCTATTCCCTTCCTCCCCTAAAGAGATGTTCTAAATAAGGGGATGGTGAGAGAGTGAATGTTTTATCTTCTGAGGTCACAACACACACATTTTTCTTTCTTGTCACACACACACACACACACACACACACACACACACACACGCACACACACACCCCTGCTCACAGCTCCTCCTCAGGATCCTTCCAACATTGTAGTGCAGCTAGGGTACCGAACATGACTGTCTTTTACTTACGTGCTTTCCACTAATACCCCACCTTTCGTCTGAGTATCGCCAAGTTTGGATTGTTTCCGGTTTCATCTTTTTCACAGGCAGCCAGCGACAGAGACAGGGACAGAATGACCCGCCTCGGAATCCAAACTCAAGGGTTGCTGCAGATGAATTACTGCCAACTTCGTAAGACAAACTGGACAAACTCCCATCATGCCGGGTGATGAAACAATTTCCAGGTATGGGAAGCTACATACCGCTGCTCCTTCCCCTCCCCTCACCACCACTACTACACACACACACACACACACAATGCAAGTTGCCCCCTCTTTTCACATATGCCAAATGCCTGCCCACCTGTCCTTTAAAGAAGTGATTAAAAGCAAAGGCACTGGACTTGAAACAAGAAAATCTAGGTTCAAATTTCATTTCAGATACCTATTGTGACTCTTGGCAGGACCTTCAGTCTCTCAGTGTGCTGCTGTTTTCACATGAGTGTGCTTCAGTTTTAAAATCTGGAAAGTTGACTATAAAACAAATGGACCCAGCAAAGGTGAGGTCTCTTCTAGGGCTAAATCATTGGTTTTGTGATCCTAGAAAGGAGAAATAGTGGGGCACATAACTCTGGCAATAGGCAAACAGTGTCACCTCCCTACAGCCTGACTACATGGGAGTGATTCTGAGGTGTTGGGGAGGGTCCGACAACCAGACAGTTCCTGGGACTTGTACTAATGTATGTCTCTCACATTCAAACAACCATGCCAGAGCAAGAGCCAGTGACCACAGAAATTCAGCCCAGACATTGAAGGAACTGGAGAATCCTAGAATTCCATGCCTGGCATTTCCTTCTTCTGCCTGCTTGCTGTCAGGCTGCTAGGGGGATGGGTACCTGGAGGAGTATGAGATGGCAGCATTGGCGATGGTGAGGGAAGAAGGGGTATAGAAGAGAAAGGTATTCCTCAGTCCCCACCAAGGCCTCCTGCCCATTTCTCCACCCCAATCCCCAGTCAGTTATTCATCTCAGACGTCATTCTCTGGCCCAGACACCCATGCCAGCTGAGTCAGCCTATTTCTTCTCCTCTGAAATTTAGGTGAATCTGAAACTAGGTTTCCCTAAAGCAAGAGTTCTTACCTTTTGTCTGTGGATGGACCTCTTTGGCAGTCTATTGAAGCCTGTAGACCCTTCCTCAGAAAAATGCACAAAGTAAAATATATGTGATTATGAAGGAAACCAATCATATCGAAATACAGTTATCTAACTATATATTATTTAAAATTTATGGACCCCAGTCCTAAGGGTTTTAATTGTTGAAGTTGGGGATACAAAACAAAAAAAGGGAGAGAGCAGAAATATAATGGAAAGGGATTTTATTCTAAAAGAAAAGAAAGAAGTTGACTAGAAAAACAGCCCAGGACCAAGAAGAGCCCCCACAGAGATACAGTGGAAGGAATCTCTCACCCTACAGTTTCTCTGAGACACTCAGGAGCCCCTGGCACACCCCTCCCCCACAACACCTATTTATTCAGTTTACTCCCCCCAGAACCCTTCCCTGCCAGTAATTCTGTCCCAGGCCACCCTGTCCCACCATCAGTGTTTTAGAACTGAAAGGAAGGGGGAGGGGGAATGTCCCAATGCTGGTGTAGTTGAGGTTAGAGGAAACCAGTTCTTGGCATCCCAAATTGAATGTCTAAATTTATTTTCCCAAAGAAACATCATTATACACAGTGATTGGGTTCTATACTATTATTAGTACAGAACTGTATTCTAGGTACATTATGAGTCATATAGGGTTTTGTGGGTTAGTCTAGGAATCTAGTCACTGTTTATAATGCTATTTCTGGAGGGAAAATTCTTTTAGAGACCAAACAAATTAAATTAGAGATGAACTTCTGGACCACAGTCATTCTCTGTATGTAGAGAGGAGCTCTCTCTATTAGCTATATCAGAGACTCACTTTAATTTACTTCGAAATCTTTTTACTTTTTACTTTACTAATTTACTTTGAAAACTTTTCCTTGAGGGGGAAACTCAGTGTTTTAATGGAAGATTATTAGATAGATACATACATACATATAAACATACATAAGAGAGAGACGTAAAAGTATATATTATATGTATATAATATACATGTATATAATATGTGTGTTATATGTCTATATAATAATATATGTATAGATTTATAACATACACATATTTTTTTTTCTTGACAACTCAATTATGCATTCTTTCTTTCAGGGAAGAGTCTCATTTGTTCTAAATCTAACCTAAGCCAATTATTTATAAGTATTACATTAGTATTTGAAAATGTTTGATAGCAAACAAAAATTCTAACTGCCATATTCAGTTTGTTTGCAAAACACCATGCATGCAGTTATAAATGGGGTAAATTGTATTTGCATGTACCAAATCCTTATAGCTAGGGATTGCCAGCTGGTTCTGTGAAAGTTTTGCAGAACAGCCAGGACTATTGGCTATGACCCAGCTTTTAACTATATTTTGTCCCTAAGATTCATTGGAGCCCCTAATTTAAAGCAAACAATTCAAGCAAGACAGTCAGTCAATCAATAAGCAATTATTAAACATCTACTGTGTGTCAGGCACTATGCTAGGTGTTAAGGATACAAAGACAGACAGGTACAGGTGAAAACAAAATAACTGTAATAAGTTCCATAAATCATTCCAACTAAGATTGCCAGTTTTCCCACAGGTCCAATCCTAAACAGGTAATTAAAGGAAAACTGTCCAGATAAAAATCATACTATAAAGAAAAGTTCTCACCTGCTACTAACTGAACTTTAAAATCTCAAAGTGCTTTTCATCACCATCAAGCAAAAGATGTTATTTGGAGGCTGGTGCTAAGAGTCCAGGATTGTAGATTCTAATTTTACTCCCACGGCCAAGCCTCAAAGCGATACTGGGGAAGGAACTCATCATCTCTCTTTTAGTTTCACTATGGGTAAATGGAGATACTATATTATTACAAGGATCCCTGTCTAACTGAAAGGCCATTGTGGAGATGTCTGTAAATCACACTGAGCTACTCAGATGAAAGGCAGGAAGTATAAGAAATGTAATTATTTATTCTGTTTGGTTTTTTTAATTTTTAATTTTTTGCAATAACAATGGATTAGAAACTAAAACCAGAATCTAGCCAGTTTTCTCCTTCAAGCTGTTGAGCAGTATTATACTAGTGGTTCACTTGATGAGTACTACAAAGGGACCTCATTTACTGAAATCTTATTTTCTTTTTTTTTTTAATGAACAGTTCTCTCCTTGGGTTTTTGTATCATGTAATAATAAAACCCACATTTAAAACTTTAAACTGATGGACAGTGTTTCTTTAACACCATTCAACAGCTGTTAAGTAGGATAATCAACTGTTTATCCTCATGTCACTAATTCAAATGCTAATTTCTCTCAATGCTCCAGCTCATTCATCCACTCAAGCCTTACCAGGTGTGTTGCATGCTAAAAGGATGCTACAGTAACCAAGTGCCTTCAGCTATTCAATTCAGGATACACATACAAGCTAGAAGACCAAAGCAAAGGGGATAAATGAATGTTTGTTGATATTGAAAGCCATGGGCCTTGAGACCTTGAGAATTAGCCAAGCAGAAAATAAATAAATAAAAAGGCAATTTGTTTTAGATAGGAAAACTGTTCTGATGATGATTTTAAATTGGATTGAATAAACCAAATGAATTTCACCTGAGAAATGACTTTGTGATTAACATGCACATTTTCAAAATAATTTTTAAATGCCTATGAATATTCTGGTCTTTTAAATTCAGTTTTTTTCTAAAAAGATAGAATGAGGCTTACAATTTTTCATTCATGGTCTTCCTATGCTTCTTAATTCTCAACGATCTAATAAACTTTTCAAAAATAAAAGGCAAAGGACTGCCTTGCTTTGTTTTTTGAATAGATGTTGCTGCTCCAGGATCCTTGAAGTATGTTTTGAGAAATAATTTTTAGTTCTGAAAGACTTCCTTGATTGCATCAGAAGCAGGTATAGTAGAATAGGCACTCCCATCTCTACTACTTAGAACCTAGGTGACACAGAGCAAATCACTTAAAACTCTCCTGCTCTCTTGCATCCTTAAAACTAGGGACAATTTTTAAGGTCCCTTCAAGAACCAAATCCTATTATCTTTTTAAGGAACCACACAAAATTTCTGCCTACAAATGTCTGTTTAAAAGCACAAATTTAGAGCTAACAGAGACCTTAGAAGCCATCTAGTCCTCTTTCTTCCACCCCCATTTTACCGATGAAGACATAGGCTCAGAAAATGACTTACCCAAAGTCACCTTGGCAGTAAGAATCAGAGGCAGGATATGAAACTAGATCTTCCTAACTCCATAGTCCAGCATTCTATCCACTATTACATTACTTATTTATTCCTACTGATTGAATTCCTAAGTGTTCAGCACTATGCTAGGTGCTGGAGAGTATGCCAAAAAAAAAGAATAAAATGAGATTGCTGTCCTCAGTGACTTTCTAGTCTAATTGGAAATAAATGCCTGTATCCTAGAGCACAAGTTCACATGCATAAGGACTAAGGTCAACATGGAAGAGGTAGGGTGAGAACAGGGCTTAATGTTAAAAATTTGGCAAGGCAAATGGGAAAGATATGGCCATGCCATTGGAAGGGACGCAGCATGAGCAAAAGCACACAGGTGGAAATGAGCATAGTGTAGTCATGGTACAACAGAGAGGGCATCTTGATCATAAAGGAAGGCATGCAAATAATGTGAGATAGTTTAGGAGTCTCAGACCTCAGGCTACTTTGGACAGCTTGCAGATCCCCTCTCCTCTATGAATTTCATGTAGTCTTTTGTGTTTTTTGTTCAGACTAATAAGTAATTAAATTAGCAAATCTTTGTGAAGAGGATTTAACACTTTCTGCAGTGTTAATGCAAAAAGATAAATGCTATAAACTTAGATATGGAACAAGTTGGATTCTTCTGGCACAGTATAACCCTTGTGTGAGGGCCGCCTATAGCATAAAGGACCCAGGCACAAAGGGAACCTGAGAAAATCTCTTCACTGACTAAACAGCCTCATAAGTCTAGCATCTACTTCTTATGTGTCAGGCTGCTGAGAGGAATATAACAAAGGCTGAATATAGCCCTAGACCTAGAATCTGGAAGAAACCTGGGTTTACACCCCATCTCAGACACTTATCAGCTATATGACCCTAGACTAGTCACTTAACCTCTGTTTCCTAAACTTCTTCTGTAAATGATGGGCTCTAAGGTCCCTTCCAGCTTTAATTCTATAGTCCTATGAACCCAAAGCCAATCACACAAAACAGAAGGAAGATCTACAGTTTACAATGACCTGAAATCCAAGCCATTCTAGAATGAGCATCAGTAAGCATTTATTAAGTATCTTCTATGCACCAGGCACATGGAACATGAAGAAAAATCTATAGCTATATCTATCTATATACATAAATATGTGTATGTATGTATGTAAATGTCTGTTTAAATGTAGTGAGAGAGAATGTGAGAAAGAGGAGGAAAGAAAGAACGAGAGGATATGTGTGTGTGTGTGTGTGTGTGTGTATGATAGAAAGAGACAAGAGAGTGAGAGAGGCAGAGAGAGACAAAAAGAGAGAAAAAAGGAAGAGAGAGGGAGAGACAGACACAGAGAGGAGACAGACAGAGTGATTTCCTTGGTTAGGGAACTTACTGACAGGTAATTCCCTTTATTATCGAAGATCAGTGCCTGCTCTTCAATTGTAGAGACTTGCCTGGGGCCCTGTGAGGTCATATGACTTGTCCAGGGTCACATAATAATCATAATAATCATAATAATACATGTTAAAGGCAAGACTTGGACCCAAGTCCTCTTGACCTTAAGGCCAGCTCTCTATTATGCATGATGCCTCTCTCATATGCAAAAGAAATACAAGTCTAAAAATAAGGACCCACTGCTGGACCCTGGGCAGCCGGATGGCACAGTAGATAGAGTTCTAGGCCTGGAGTCAGACACGTCATAGCTGTGTGACCCTGGGCAAATCACTTAACCCTGTTTGCCTCAGTTTCCTCATCTGTAAAATGAGCTGGGGAAGGAAATGGCAAACCACTCCAGTATCTTTGCCAAGAAAACCCTAAATGGGGTCACAAAGAGTAGGACATAACTGAAAGGGTCTCTAAAGGACCATCTTGCTCTGGACCTATGCATGTGGTTGGATCTGGTTTGTTGTTAAGCTGGCCTTTAATGGTCATGGGTCTAGTCTCCTTTTTCTTATACTTTGTGGCTCATTAGACTTCCAATCTGGTGCCCTGGGGACAAACAATTTAAAGTTTAGATGTTTAGCTCATATCTAGGTCTTCCCAAAGAGAGGAGTAAAAAGTACTCAATGTATAGTATGAATCAGGTATGAGACAGACATTTTATTCCTACACATAACATATGCTAAACATAAAATGACTCACGTTGCACATTGACAAAAGGATTGAGAACAGGATTCAGTAACTTAATTCATAACTTCTGATACAATCTGCCAAAAGGATGATACTTAAATCTCATCAGAACATAAAGCAGTTTGCAGGGCTGCTGATACAGCAGTTTTACACTTTTGCCTCAAAGTCCATGCCTTCTGACAAACCAAACCAGTTGCTTGGGCTCTTCCTCTTTTCTATGGTCCTCCTCTTCAATGAAGAAGCTCCTCTAGCCACCAGTCAGCTTTCCTCAATGAACCCATGACCTCTGGACCTCTCAAATCTCAAAGTTGCCTCCAAACCTGAACTCGTCTACTTCAGAACAGATGCTTGATCACCTACTCAGGAAAGGAAACACAAAACAGAAAAGGCAGTCAGAGGTCCAGATACGAGCTTGCCTAGTGAAGTTGCCTTACTGTGCTGGGATGGGTAAGGACCAGCCTACTCCTACCTCTTAACTTGGAATAAGTTATATGATGCCACCTAGAAGGCTGAAGGAAGAGAAGATGCCCTGTCCCTATGACCATTGTCACAAGAAGAAGGAAGGACCAAGGAACCATTCAAGGTTTACTTTGTCATATCAAAGTGATCAGTCCTTTCACCACTGGGCTATCACGTTGTTGAAAGCATAAAGGAAACTTGTCATCCCCAAAAGGCCCAAGAACTAGGTCACCATGTGGAAGTTTCCAGAGAAGTATACACACTCTAGTTTGGCCCCTATGGGCCAATTCAATCTTTGCTATCCCAGGTAATTTCAGGAGAGGGGGGAAACACTAGCTGCTGGAGGGATCAAGAAAGACCTCACCTCACATAGGAGATGATGCTTGTGTGGAGCTTTGAAGATTAGGGATTCTATAAGGTGGCGATGAGGAAGGAATACATTACAGGCATCAGGTCAATCTGCGCAGAGGTCATTCACGTGAGATCTGCTGACATCACTTTATTCATCTTTCTTTTTTGTGGTCACCCTCACTGCTGACCTCATCACTCATGTAACAGACTCATTGTCACCAAGTAGCTTTCTGGACCATAGTTAAACTTTCCCTTTCATTACGTGCCTATAAAGCTATCCGTAAAGTGAGTAGACTAACTTCACGGTATGGTGTGCTGTCCTACATAGGAAACCAACAGCTAGCAGGACATGTGTTTTATAATTTTTTTTCCACTAGTGAATATGGGCTCCATTAAGCTAGCCACAGTCTCTGACACAGTCACCTTTGTGACTGTTGGCACTCACATGTGAAGACTGTTGGCTGAAACAAGGGGTGTAGTCTGTGGCTGGGAAACACAGTTTTTTTTGTGCAAAGTTATCTGGCCCACATAGGGATTTAACCCTGTGCTTGCCAACTAATCAACTCCAACATATGGACTCCAACACAAGATGCAAAGAGAGTTTATAAAGGTGGCCCTAGTGACTACCACTTCGTAAACTTATTCTTCACTCTCTTTGGTTGTCTCACCACCAGTTAATAGCCCAGCTTCCACTAATTGTGTGATCATGAACACATCACTTAGCCTTTCTGAATCTGTTTCCTCATCTGCAAAAGGGGGTAGTAATAGCACCCAAATGACAAAGTTGTTGGGAGGGTTAAATGACATAATATATGAAAAGCATTTTGCAAATCCTAAAGTACTGTGTAAACGTGAGATGTTATCATTATTATTACAAGTCACTATGGTAAGCACTGGCAATCCTTTGAGGCTTGGATTCCCCCCTCTTCCCACCCCCCAATCTCCAGCTTCTACTGCCTCCCCAGTCCTGAAATTAGCTTGTATTTGCTTTGTATATACTTTGTTCATATATGTGTGTACACATGTTGTCTCTCCCAATAAAACATGTGCTACTTAATGGCAGGAATTATTCATTTTTCTCTTTGTATCTTCAGCATTTGGTACATTGTTTAGTGATTGTTCTTGAGTCGTTTTTCAGTCATGTCTGACTCTTCGTGACTCCATTTGGGGTTTTCTTTTCAAAGATACTTGGAGTGGTTTGCCATGTCCTTCTCCAGCTCATTTTACAAATGAGGAAACTGAAGCAGAGTTAAATGACTTGCCCAGGGTCACACAGCTAGGAGATGTCTGAGGCCAGATTTGAACTCAAAAATGAGCCTTCCTGACTCCAGGCCTGGAACTCTATCCACTGTGCCACCTGCCTGCCTCAGCACATAGTACCTACTCAATAAATGCCTATGGGTTGACAGATCTGTGATCTTCGTGAGGACCCTTGATCCTCCAAATAGGTTGAAACCATGTCCTTCACTAAATCCTCCGTAGAAAATTAGCTAACATACTGGAGACCTCCCTATGCATCTTTTAATATTTCCTAGCACTGCCTTGTACTTAATACTGTTGCACTTAATACCTTGCACTTAATAACTGTTTGTTAAATGAATAAATGAATACAT